CTATATCACAGTCAAGTCATAGGGGTCTATATCACAGTACAATCATAGTGGTCTATATCACAGTCAAGTCATAGTGGTCTATATCACAGTCCAATCATGGTGGTCTATATCACAGTCAAGTCATAGGGGTCTATATCACAGTCAAGTCATAGTGGTCTATATCACAGTACAATCATAGTGGTCTATATCACAGTCAAGTCATAGGGGTCTATATCACAGTACAATCATAGTGGTCTATATCACAGTCAAGTCATAGTGGTCTATATCACAGTCAAGTCATAGTGGTCTATATCACAATCCAGTCATAATGCTCTATATCACAGTCCACTCATAATGGTCTTTTTCCCAGTCAAGTCATAGTGGTCTATATCACAGTCCAATCATGGTGGTCTATATCACAGTCAAGTCATAGGGGTCTATATCACAGTCAAGTCATAGTGGTCTATATCACAGTACAATCATAGTGGTCTATATCACAGTCAAGTCATAGGGGTCTATATCACAGTACAATCATAGTGGTCTATATCACAGTCAAGTCATAGTGGTCTATATCACAGTCCAATCATGGTGGTCTATTTCCAAGTCAAGTCATAGTGGTCTATATTACAAACCAGTCATAGTGGTCTATATCACAAACCAGTCATAGTGGTCTATATCACAAACCAGTCATAGTGGTCTATAGCACAATCCAGTCACAGTGCTGTATAGCACAATCCAGTCATAGTGGTCTATAGCACAATCCACACATAGTGGTCTATATCACAGTACAATCATAGTAGTCTATATCACAGTCCAATCATGGTGGTCTATATCACAGTCCAATCATAGTGGTCTATATCACAGTCAAGTCATAGGGGTCTATATCACAGTCCAATCATGGTGGTCTATATCACAGTCAAGTCATAGTGCTCTATATCACAGTCAAGTCATAGTGGTCTATATCATAGTCAAGTCATAGGGGTCTATATCACAGTACAATCATAGTGGTCTATATCACAGTCAAGTCATAGTGGTCTATATCACAGTCAAGTCATAGGGGTCTATATCACAGTCAAGTCATAGTGGTCTATATCACAGTCAAGTCATAGGGGTCTATATCACAGTACAATCATAGTGGTCTATATCACAGTCAAGTCATAGTGGTCTATATCACAGTCAAGTCATAGGGGTCTATATCACAGTACAATCATAGTGGTCTATATCATAATCTAGTCATAATGGTCTATATCACAGTCCAATCATAGTGGTCTATATCACAGTCCAATCATGGTGGTCTATATCACAGTCAAGTCATAGTGGTCTATATCACAGTCAAGTCATAGTGGTCTATATCACAGTCAAGTCATAGTGGTCTATATCACATTCCAATCATAGTGGTCTATATCACAGTCCAGTCATGGTGGTCTATATCACAGTCAAGTCATAGTGGTCTATATCACAGTCAAGTCATAGTGGTCTATATCACAGTCAAGTCATCGGGGTCTATATCACAGTACAATCATAGTGGGTTATATCATAATCTAGTCATAATGGTCTATATCACAGTCAAGTCATAGTGGTCTATATCACAGTCAAGTCATAATGGTCTATATCACAGTCAAGTCATAGTGGTCTATATCACAGTCAAGTCATAGTGGTCTATATCACAGTCAAGTCATAGTGGTCTATATCACAGTCAAGTCATAGTGGTCTATATCACAGTCAAGTCATAGTGGTCTATATCACAGTCAAGTCATAGTGGTCTATATCACAGTCAAGTCATAATGGTCTATATCACAGTCAAGTCATAGTGGTCTATATCACAGTCAAGTCATAGTGGTCTATATCACAGTCCAGTCATAGTGGTCTATATCACAGTAAAGTCATAGTGGTTCATATCACAGTCTGATCATAGTGGTTTATATCACAGTCACGTCATAGTGGACCATATCAGTCCAGTCATAGTGGTCTATATCATAATCCAGTCATAATAGTC